TACCACAGTGATATATGTGCACCCATGTTTGTAGTGACACAGTTTGTAATAGCTAAAGCTTGCGAACAACCCAAGTGCCCATCAACTGGAAAGTGGATAAAGAAGATTTTTTTTTTTTTATAAAATGGAGTACTAATCTGCCATAAAGAATGAGAAACTAGAGACATTTATAGATAAATGGATGCATTTTGAGGTCATCCTCTTAAGTGAAATAAATAGGAAACCCATGTGTAAATACTGAATAGTTTCTGTAGTGTGAGAAACTGAAGGTGTAATTATAGATTAAAGTGATTAAAATGAATAATTGATAATTTGAAATACAAAGAAAAGGTTCAAACGGGTAGGGGTGGCAGGAGGGGGAAGGGGAGAGATCAGAGTAACAGGCTGGAGTCTGGAAAGGATCCATATATAGATTGTGTTTAAAACTATAGGAAGAGATGTAGATAGAGACTAGGCTGGAGCTCATCATTAGTTTTGGAAGGAAGAGTCATTGAGATCCAAGGAGAGAAGGGTATGTTTCCAGAAGAAGCACATACAACTATGTATAGTACACAGTATTCGATAGTGTGCTAAATGACTGTTACTCTTTTAGGTCCTTATCATAACATGCTGTGCTTTTCATCCTTTAGAGCATAATCCTACTTATATAAAAGAGTTTACTCTAAAACAGTGTGCCAGTGGTAGCCTTATGTATCTTGTGTTTAACTGCATATTTGGATAATATCAGGGGGCCATCACAGATGACTGACGTATACCTTTTCAGTTTGCACTTAGAAGTTGGCACTTTGTGTGGTACTTTGCGATACACATGGATGAAATTGCCTAATAACATATTTCTCAGATTATATTTCCATCATGTGTCATATGACTATTGAAATTTAAATTTAAAAAATTTGGCCTATGTGGAGTCTACTAGTTAATTAGAATTTTTTTCTCCAGACCACTATTTGTTCAATATTAGTTTTGAAAATCTTTCTAAAACAAACTACATCTTCTGATGTCTTGTTAATGCTTGAGATGTTTTTTTAAATTATGTGGAAAAATGCTTTAGTACTTTTCAGTTTTGCTTTGGTTGAGTTTTATTATATTTGAATATTATTATAGATTTTTTCCCTTGCATTGCTTTTCTTTGAATAATTTTAATTTTTGTATATGTGTGTGTTTAATGAATAATAGTTATACATTTTTAAAATAAAAAAGATTAACATTAACAAAGAAAAACCACTTATATTACATTATCAATTATTAAGTACATATTGTTATCTAATGGTGACACAGTTTTAGGAAATGAAGAACTTTGATTTCAAAACTGAAGTGCTTACTCTAATTAAAAGGAAATTTACTCAAATATAGATTTTTCAGACAGTTTGCAATGGTGATTGTAATCCACAGAAATAATTCCAATGCAGCTGAAAAACTGAAATTTATATAAGCATATTTACTACACAGAAAACTTACAGCTAATATATTAAAGTACATTTGTGAGGCCAGGCATGGTGGCCCATGCCTATAATCTCAGTACTCTGGAGGCTGAGGCAGGAGGATTGCTTCATGTTTGAGGCCAGCCTGCACTACATAGTGAGTTCAAGGCCAGCATCAACTATGTAGTGAGTCTCTGTCTAAAACAACCAAACAAAAAGTAAAATAAAATAAATTTGTATCATTTTTCTTATGAAAATGCCAAAATTTTGGTGACAATACAACTAATGGCAGATAGCACTGAATATTAAAATTAGGAGGAAAATTTTTCTTTAAGTAAAAAATAGTTTCAAAAACTCCCATGTCCTTGAATTCTTTAGAATGCTTAACTCAGTTTCAAATGTATCCCACGCAAAGTGATAATAAACACATGCATTGCATACTTATGGAAGCACTGAGATGAAGTTCTTGTAATCCTACCACACTGAACTTCTTTCTGTAGTAACGGAGCCACCATTCCCGCCCCTAAGAATTAGTCTATCATCAACAACAACAACAAAAAATCAATCATTCTTATGACTAGTACATATCCTCTACAAGGACCTCTTTTAGTTTTTTCCAAGAAATAGATTTGGGTCCAAATTTTCTGTGCAGCAGTGACCATCAATGGCAATACTAATGTTAATCCTTCTTATCTTTATATAGCATACTGTTGACCCATCTCATCTTTGTATAGCATTACTATTCCTTTGTGTTAATTTGGTTATTATGTTTCTTTCACTTCCCCTCCTAGTAACAGTCTGTTATTGATTGCTAAGAGATGTGGATGATTCAGTATGTAAGGATTTTTATCATGCATTGCCATTGTGAAATACTTTGCTGTTTTATGTTTTGGTTATGTTTTGAAATACAGTCATGTTCTGTTTTTTTTAAAAAAGCAAACACATAAGATTGATTTATAGGTTAAAATATAGTCTATGGCAAAGATTAATTCTATTCCAATGCATTTGGAATCAGTGGGGGAATTGTCTAAAAATAACTTTTTTAAAAGCTAATTTAAAAGTGTCTGGATTCTTCAAGTAGACTGTGTATATCTCTAAATGGAATACATAAAATTTTAAAGATTTTATTGGACACATAAATAATATTTTAGTGGCTTTGTATAAGCCAGGATTTTAAAAATAGGACAAACATTAGGAAAATAAAATATCATACTACAATACAATCAAGCACTTCTGTTTAGTGGAGAAAACATTTTAACAGTTAAAAGCAGTCACCGAATTACAAAAGAGAATATGTACTTATATTTATCATAAGAATATTTACATATTATTTAAATGTTAGTATATATACTAGTGCATAGTATGTATAATATATTAGAATATATAATATATACACATATTTTTTCTGTCTATTCAAAGAATATTGCATAAAATAAAAGAACACATACACACCAGTTAGGAAAGAAAGTTAGAAAATGATTAAAATCTTTAAATGGGAGCTTAAAAGAGCACATCAAATATTCTAAAGGTATGAGAAAATATTGAACTTTATTGGTATTTACTTTTATCATTTTAAATCATTATGAGCTACCACTACTTACAGATTAAACTTTCACTTCAGAGTAATTTGGTTAGTACAATAATTTTGAACCATTAATTAGCAGGGTCTGAAAAAGTTGAATATCCTTACTGAATATCCTAGAAATTCCACATTATTTAAACACAGGAAAGAAATAACACACTGGAATATTCATAGCAGCATAAATATTAATAGCTCTAAATTGTAAGCTACTAAAATATCCATCAACAATTGAATGGAAGAAGAGATTTTGGTATGATCACATAATAGAGGATAGTAAACATAGACTAGAATAAATATATACATATAGAAATAATGTGGATGAATTTCACAAACAAGATATTAAATGGAGTAAGAAAGTAAGGAAAATATGCATCAGGAATGTACTTATACAATACAGGAAACAGGCTAATTAATCTATTGTCTTAGAAGGAATTCATTATTTTGAATTAATTTATGCTTAAATAAATCAGATTTCACAAATATCTCCAAATACATTACTATTGTCATCTTTTGTTCAAAATTTGCAAAAGTAAATTCAGAATCTGTAAGAAAATACCATGTAGCTCACGTAATATGATTAATACAACAGAAAAGTTTTGAGACCTCTATGTAGTCACTTTTTAAATTGTAGGAGGTACCATAATATTGTTATCAACCTAATTTAAGTGAACTTTTGATTCAGATTACTTTTGCCGCCTTTTTATTCAATAGGAACTGAAAAGTGGTGGGAAAATCATAAACAGATATATTTGTATAACTATTGATTTATCTATATATCCGTCCATCTGTCTTCCATGTTTAAATCACAACAGTAATTCTTTTCAGTGAGGATTCTGTTTTGAGGTTTGTTTTTGAGTGCAGTGTTTTCAAAGTCATTTGGTTCTGTAAGATGTCATACTAAGTTATACAGATTTAAGCTCAGAGAGGAGGCAGTAATGTGTCCCATGTCTTATAGTGAAATGGTCTACCTGGCTTTGAAAACAAAGCCCCCAAAGAAAGCATGTAAGTTTACCTGTGGCTCTCACAGTTAATGTGATATGGTGCAGAAACCTGATACTTACAGGTATGCAGCTTTTCCTTCTTCAAGTTCTTTACTTTTTCCACTGGAACCACTCTTCTTCCCACAAATTCTCCTGGTGATGCACATCAATAACCCACATTGTCGAATAAAGAAGCAGCTGACATCTGTTACCACAAGGATTAGCAAAAGGGCTGCAACTCCCAGGCCAATGACTGCTCCAAGCCCAAGACCATTAAAAAGTGTGTCTTAAGAAAAAAATAAGAAAATAATTCCGTTAAATACCCACGTCAGAAAATATCAAACACTACTTTAAAATTAATCTTAACAAAGATATATATTGGACTAAAGAGATAGGAATAAATAACTGGCAGATTTCAATCTCATCATTATTAGGACCTATTATCTGGCTTTCAAACCATATCTTAAGCAACTGACAGGTTAATGAATTCTCTCAAAAACTTTCTCAAAAAAAGAAAAAGACTAGGCATATTTAGTATAGTTCTTGATTCTCTGTGAGGAAGATAATGAATGATATCATATTTCAAACTGTAATTTATCAGAAATTCACAGTCATTATGGATCATCACCATGTTAAGTGGGAAATACAGTCATAAATGCTGTAAGAGAGGTGTTACTTAAATATTCCATAAGGAACTATTTTAGTGTTAAAACTTAAACTTGCAAATGGTTGTCTCCAAGTATTTTGCTTTGACAATGAATTCATTTTAGGATACTTACCTCTCAATATTTTTTTAAAACTATCACTTTAGAAGAAAAGATATGCTTATGTTTTTCCAGTTAATATTTTAATTAGTATATTAAACTACAGGAAAGTTTTTAAGATTTATGATTAAGTCAGATTAAGAAAATATGGAGGAAAACAGGAGCTATTGATTCATGGCATTTGGATGTAGGAAATCCCAAATGATATGCAGAATATATCCATGGGATAAGTGATTGTGAATAGGATGGATAATGTTGGCCCATAAAGCAAAAATGTTAATAGGGGCAAGTAGTAGTAAAAGTGATTTAAGTTTTACCTGTTGAAGTGGATTATGAGGGAAGATACACAACAGTAGAAGTGTGGATGAAAATAAATAAGGACAATGGAACAAATATGCAGCTGTTATTTAAAATAAAAAAGAGAATGATTGATTTTGGAAGTGTAAATAAGGACAAAAATGTATAATAGACATTGTGAAAAAGGAAGAAATTGTTCAAGAGAAACTAAAGACATTTATTGTTAAGTGGATGCGCATCAAGGCCATACACTTAAGTGAAATAAATAGGACACACATGTATAAATACCGAGTGATTTCTCTGGTGTGAAAAACTAAAAGTGTAAATAAGGATCACAATGTATAGTTGATATTGTGAAATAGGAAGGAAAGTTCTAAAGGAGCAGGGGAAGTGGGAGGGGTAGGGGAAAGGAAAGAAGGGAAAAGAAAAATATGAAAAAAGGAAAAAAATGGAAACAAAGTCTTTAAATAGAGA